TATACGTGTATACGTGTATATATATTATATATACGTGTATACGTGTATATATATTATATATACGTGTATACGTGTATATATATTACATATACGTGTATACGTGTATATATATTACATATACGTGTATACGTGTATATATATTACATATACGTGTATACGTGTATATATATTACATATACGTGTATACGTGTATATATATTACATATACGTGTATACGTGTATATATATTACATATACGTGTATACGTGTATATATATTACATATACGTGTATACGTGTATATATATTACATATACGTGTATATATTTTACATATACGTGTATATATATTACATATACGTGTATACGTGTATATATATTACATATACGTGTATATATATTACATATACGTGTATATATATTACATATACGTGTATATATATTACATATACGTGTATATATATTACATATACGTGTATATATATTACATATACGTGTATATATATTTTATGTATGTGTGTGTGTATACGTGTATATACATGTGTATACGTGTGTATAAATATATATGTGTATACGTGTGTATAAATATATATATGTGTATACGTGTGTATAAATATATATATGTGTATACGTGTGTATAAATATATATATGTGTATACGTGTGTATAAATATATATATGTGTATACGTGTGTATAAATATATATATGTATATACGTGTGTATAAATATATATATGTATATACGTGTGTATAAATATATATATGTATATACGTATATATATATATGTATATACGTATATATATATATGTATATACGTATATATATATATGTATATACGTATATATATATATATATATACGTATTTACATGTATATATATATACGTATTTACATGTATATATATATACGTATTTACATGTATATATATATACGTATTTACATGTATATATATATACGTATTTACATGTATATATATATACGTATTTACATGTATATATATATACGTATTTACATGTATATATATATACGTATTTACATGTATATATATATACGTATTTACATGTATATATATATACGTATTTACATGTATATATATATACGTATTTACATGTATATATATATACGTATTTACATGTATATATATATACGTATTTACATGTATATATATATACGTATTTACATGTATATATATATACGTATTTACATGTATATATATACGTATTTACAGTTTATATACGTATTTACATGTATATATATATACGTATTTACATGTATATATATATACGTATTTACATGTATATATATATACGTATTTACATGTATATATATATACGTATTTACATGTATATATATATACGTATTTACATGTATATATATTATATATACGTATTTACATGTATATATATATACGTATTTACATGTATATATATATACGTATTTACATGTATATATATATACGTATTTACATGTATATATATATACGTATTTACATGTATATATATATACGTATTTACATGTATATATATATACGTATTTACATGTATATATATACGTATTTACATGTATATATATATACGTATTTACATGTATATATATATACGTATTTACATGTATATATATATACGTATTTACATGTATATATATATACGTATTTACATGTATATATATATACGTATTTACATGTATATATATATACGTATTTACATGTATATATATATACGTATTTACATGTATATATATACGTATTTACATGTATATATATATACGTATTTACATGTATATATATATACGTATTTACATGTATATATATATATATATATATATATATATATATATATATATATATATATATATATGCATTTACATGTATATGTATATACGTATTTACGTGTATATATATATACGCATTTACGTGTATGTATATACGTGTCTACGTATATATATACGTGTTTGCGTGTTTATATATATGTGCGTGTACGTGCACATATATATATATATATATATACACGTGTGTGTACATGTTTATGTATGTGTATGTGTATGTCTACACATGTATATTTATGTGTATGCGTATGTGTACACATGTATATGTATATGTATGTGTATGTGTACACATGTATATATATATGTATGTGTACACATGTATATATATATGTATATGTATGTGTATGTGTAAAACAAACAAACCCAAACAAACAAACACAAACACACACACACATATATATCCTCGGCATGAAGCACCTGAATGCAAGTATTGGCAGAAGTCTTTTTAACAATGAATGTTCGGAGCGCCATTAACAGCATGCAGGAATTTGTTCGTGTGCAGGGTCCTCCCTGGTAATAGGCATAGTTCGTGGAATTCAAACCGCAATTCACGAAGGAAGCCTTTCCTAAAGGTACTCCGAAACAACCTGAAAGTACTTTGGGTACTAAATGACAAATGAGATGAAAAGGTCATATAGCATTACAAAAAGGTGTAGTAGCGACAGGGGTGAAGAGGTAGTTAGTTGAAGATGAAATGTGATACACGTCAGAAGTTGTATCTTAATTCAGGATAGCACGGCGTTGGAAGGAGCAAAGGAGAGTGAGGGTAGAGTGGATAAATAGGCAAAGGATGGGATTAATAGGGAAATAGATTAAGTTGTTTGGGAAGAAGTGTGGGATTTTGCAAGAATGTCCATAGGGTAAGGTAGGGATTACTTAAAGGAGAAAGGGGGTTTAAGGACAATTATATCACGGTTTCAGGAGCAAAGTCAAGAGGGAATTGTGGGAGGCTTAGGAGACGGGGACTGAGGCCCAATGTAGGGGATCACACGTCTTAAACCTCAGCCCTTGCCTCAACTAATTTTCTCTCCATTTCCTTCATCTCCTGTCCACCTACCCTAATCGTTATATGTTTACCCCCCCCACCCCACCCCATAATCAATGCTATGTGACCTTTGATGTCTACCACATTTGTTTTGGCATTCTGGATATCCACAAACAACCTTATGAACCCTCCAAAATTCTTTACTAGCCCCCATCCTATAGTTAGATTTTGTATTTTTTTTTTTTATATATTAGTAGCATATTCAAAATATGTCTTACTGGATATGATAATGACTAGAGTATGTTGGGGAGAGAAAGTCCACCCTCAGGGGTAAGGGTTAGACAACTAAACAGTTGAATACTGTGCCTAAGGCTCACCTTACCCGTTCATGAGTGGCACAAAGACTTAACACCTTACAAATGGATATTAGAAGGGGTTGGGTAATCCCAGCATTGGGATTCTTAACCCCCACCCCTCCCCATTATAAATCAAAATGTGCAAGACCTCAGTCATAGGGTAAGGGAGGGATTAGCAAAAGTAGAATGTGTACTAATTACACACCCCTCCCTGTTTCAGGAGAAAAGTCAGGGAGCAACAAAGTCAAATGCATATCCAGGGGGAAAGTGGAAGGAATAGTGGGGGAAGGGGGGGAGGGTGCAGATGAAGCAGGGGGGAGGGGAGGTGTTGGGAGTGGGAGGATTGGGTGTAGGGGAACAGGTGGAGGAAGAGGATGAATGTCGACAGTTGTTTGTAGATAGGCAGTGAGATCAGATTGGACAATGGTCGAGGTGTAGGCATGTTATCTTGGGTCTTTAGAATTGATGAAGTGGCTTTGGTTTGGTAAAAAAAAAAAAGTTGGTGGAGAAGAGGTGACAAGTTTGAGGTGGGAGGGAGGGGGATGTAGGAAAAGATTAAGTAGAAATTTTAGCTGGTCTTGGGAGGAGTTGAGCAGGGAAGGGGTAAGTACTGGGAAGTTTGTATTAGTGGTGGAAACTTGGAGGAAAAGCAGAGTTTTGTTCAGCAAGGTAATGTTCCAACTGACCAGTCAGGAAATACAGTACAAGGTATCAGGTTACATAGCACTATGGTAAAGTAGTGTGGCGAAGAGGGTAAATACAAGTTAATGATTAGGAGAAGTGAACCGAAGTTGATGGAAACACGCCTGCAAAATTAGTTGCAGGGCTAAGGTCCAATGCATTGGTGGTCAGTCTGCTTCCTGAACTGCACCCCCCCCAACCCCTCCTCCCGCAATATGAGCAATGAATTGTGGGGTTTCCAGTGTAAACAAAGGGGGGGTTCATGTCTGGAAAGTAATCTGCAATATTGGCGGAGGCGGGTGCTTTGGGGGGGGGGGGGGGTAGCATGGGTTTGCCAGTGAATTTTTATTTTTTATTTTTAAAGCTTGAGATCATGATTTAACAAGGAAGGTTTAGGGTGGCTGTAGAAGGAAGCTTTACCCCCCCCCCCCTCAACAATGAAAAGGTCATGGGTAAGAGTTGGAGAATTAGAACCACCTCAGAGCGAGGTTAGGGGAAGTTTGAGTATTAGGAAGAATGTTGGAAGGGAGGGATCAAGAGAAGGAAGTTGTAAGCATCCAGTTGGGAGGATAAGGATATTGGAATGGTGGGACACTGGAGAAGCTGGAGTACTTTTCCCTCTCCTATAAGGAGATAAAAAAGGAGAGCTTTGTGATGTATAGATATAGGCAAATATATAGTGCCGAGGAAGAGTAGAGGTAGTAGTGTTCATCAGGTTTAGGATAATTATTATTATTATTATTTTTTTTTTTATTTCATAACTCTTGTAGAAAGATCAAAGGGAATGATATGGAGGAAAAGGGGTGGCACATAGGGTGGAGAATAGATGGTCTATTATAATTGGTAGATTAGAGGGAGGGGTAAATTATCTAGGACTTGAAGTAATGACTTAGTAGAGATAGGATGATTCGAGGTAGAGGGAGAGCTTCATGCGCAGCTAGCAGCAGAGGATAGTCTTAGAACTATTAGGTTCTACTTTTAGGTTGGCACATTCTTGCCACGTTTCCTACAGTGGGTCTGCCTCCCTCTAAGACAAAAATTAGTTTGCAGCAATTTGAAGGTATTTAGTGCTACTCCATACAAGCTAAATCGAGCTGGGGATTAAAGTTGGGTAGTGCAAGCCAGTTTCAGTGCCAGCTTTTTTTTTTTTTTTCTTTTGCCAGGAAACTTAAAGACACTTTAGTTGTTTAGAATTATTAAAAATCATAAATTACATAGATGTACACCCTTCGTCTATTCTCTGTATGTGAATCCTTTAGCCAAGAGCTGTATCTTCATAATTTGGGCCGGTTCCTTGCAAGATACCAGCAGAAGATCTTTGAAGGATACCACAATCCTCGTTACATCAAGTGGGTTACGGCATACTGGGATTTGTTGATAAAGCCGGAATCCCTGTTGGAAAGAGGGGGGAATTTTTAGTTTAATAGGCCAACAAATATAAAGTTAAAAATAAAAAAAAGGATGAAAGAAAATTACCTCAGTTGGAGAATTTTCATACACATCCAACGTTTGTGTGAATTCAGAGAGCAACAGCAAGTAGAGATCATCCCCTATGTAGATGGACTCCTGAGCAACCACACCATAGGATGGCAGCCTCTGATAAGGCTGATATCCAGACAGGCCATACTTGAACACCTTTTGGGAGAAATAAAGTTAAGTGCTTATACAAGTCAGATTATATATATGCAAGTTCACTGTATAACTCACTTACCATAACGTCTGTTGTATACTTCACATTGTCTTCAGACACGGGAGAATCTGCAGCCTGCAGCTGTGCTAGAGAGAAGTATCGCTCTTTGAGAGCGCTCTTTGCATCTAGGAAGATGCCCGATGTAACCCGTTGACCCATGTACTCACCAATGAGGTCAAACTGAAAGTATACAACACTTAACCCATTGCCACCAGGGAAACTGAATAAAGTGGGGAAATGCTGTGTTCATTTTTATATTGTGAAAATTATATAGATGGTTCTGCTAGTGCTTAGTGACTAGAGTCAATCGATAGGGACCTTACCCAATTTGAATTGGTGGGAAGAAAACCAGACTGGTAATTTAGTAAAAAATTACTGGAAATCAGCCAATTATGATTAGCCATATGTAAATGCCAATCTATTAACTTAGTGGGCATTGTGTTAATCTACCCTTATATACTTTTAGTGCACATTAAACTAGTTAATTTTACCTTTTCCTCAGTGGTTGACCACAAGTACAACTGAGATGGCGCAGTGAAGGGATCTACCGAGTCATTTGAGGCCATGTGATTTGCAACCAACAGCATCCACCCATTGTCACCCTGGAAGATTCAGGCAATTTTATAAAAGAAAATTGGAGAAGCAAAATCTTAATCACAATCCTGCATATACTTGCCAAGGTTACATCCACGGTTGCGGCACTATACGAGGTCTGCAAGGACCAGATGACCACTGGTGTAGAGATCAACTTTGTTACATGAATGCTAGATGTTGCACCAATACTTCCTTCTGCAAAGTAGAAAGGAGTTTGCAGTCCTTGCCGTAAGGCACATTAGAGAACACTTTTGCATCAAAGCCAAGTCTTCTTACAATTCTTACCTGCAATTGTACCTGCAGTTACAATATAACTGACGCCATTTACTCTGAACACTGCAACATCAGCTACAGTACCCAAGTTCCCAATAGGGTGGCTGGAATCGGTAAGCTGCAAGGTCTTCACTACAGCTTCTCCAGTGCAACTAGAAGGTTGATTATAAGTTACAAAATGTAATCATGAATTTGGGGCATTATATTTAGGGTTATTGCAGAGCAACATACCTGTTCACTACACCGGTCCCCTCATAACCCTCTGTATCGAAGATGAAGGCAGAATCGGTATCATTGAAGTCTTGCAGCAAGTCTCCATTATTTGATACCTAAAGAGTAGTGGTTTGGGTATAAGGGATAGAACTGGCATTAAAGTTAAACTAGTGTTTTACTAGTGCTTTGTGCGACTTATTACGATTTAAAAGTGAAGCAAGATTGCAAGTTACTAAAAATAGTAGTAAAGTTGTGCACTTAACCTATAGCCAAAACCTAGCAAGTTAAACTTCAAACCACACAACTAAAAGAATTTAACAAATGCCAACTCACATGGTAGAAGGAGTATCGACTAGGGCAGGTGCATAGGACATCACACTCCCTTACTGCCACAAATGGAGTACCACTGAAGGACCCAAAACTCATTTTTCCCGTTACTGCTACATCTTCAACATTAACGAGCTCGCCATACATTAATGTTTCATACATGCCTGAAACGGGAGTTTATTGAAAATTCTGCCACATACAAGGCAATTGGAGGCAAAGAGTGACAAGTGTGGGGTTTGGGGGAAGCCCTCTTGGGCAGAGATTTGTCCAGTAAAAAATTTAGAAAGGTCAGTGGCTAACTGCACCAAAAGGCTATCTAGCCTTTGCCAGTGACAAAAAGGGAAGGTGTTAAGTTCAGAAATAGATGAAAAATTTAAATGGCTTGCAATATTAAGTAAGGTGGTTCATGGCAGGGGTGATGCCTACAAGGCCCATGTAGGCTTAAGGTTTAAAGCCCTAAATGGAGAAGAGAAACTTACCACAAGCAAGAGTTTTCGTGTCAATGAAGGTATTAGAAAGAGTGCTATTGAGGTTGTATAGTCTTGTACTCTGATCTTGAATGTTTTGGTTCAATACTGATGGGGCATAATTCACATCTGATAATCTGTAGCCGTTCACTTCTCCCGTGACATCAATTGCAGTGTTTGCTTCTACTGCTTTTTCAAAGACCTGTTTAAACAATAGGTTAGACAAAATCTTGAGAATTTTGCAAACTACTCTACAGAACGGATACCAACCAAATTGTGTTCTATTTTAGCCGATCTATCCTTTCGGACGATGTTTAGGTTCAGTGATGGGATGTCCACATCATTAATTAGAGTAGCCTGGATTTCCCCTTCTACTTTGAAGCCTCCATTAAAGATCTTGGGCCCAGTAATATCCTGTTGAATTCTTCCAGACTTCAGTACAATGTCTTTCACTTTTATTCCCTTAATTTCTTCAACCACAAGGTCACCTAAAAATGGTTTTAGAAAGTTAGGGATTTGCCAATTCCTATTTAAGGTAGTAGTCACAACCAGGGCTTCAAGTTATAGCTTGTATGCACTTGCAAGTGCATAGATTACCAAGCATGTTTGTAGCAGCATCCAGCACCTGCTAATAGGTTAATGGCAGAGAAGACCTTATAATGAATAGAGATTAAGCCGAATGCTTAAACATTAATGTCAAAATACTAGATATTTCAGGGTTTACCATAATATTTGTTCTAGTTGCTTAACCCCCCCCCAGTCATGTAGAACCCTCGAGCAATATTGTGGCATCAGGGTGCAGATGCAACAGGACTAGCAAGTTTAAGCTTTGGTAACTTTTAAGAACTTGCAAGTGCACAAAAAAAAAAAAAAAATTCCAAACCTTCCACTTTTAGTCCCTCGAAGATTGTAGAAGAAGTCAAGGTCTCTTGCGTGTCAAGTCTGATTCTATCTATTAGAAGTTGCTCTAGGTCAACATTATCGATCAGTCCTTCCACCTAAATACAAGAGGTACACATTAAATACTTATCAAAAGGGAAGAGTTTAAACTTGGACACCATGTAAACACATACCTCTAGATCTCCTTTGACCGTAATGGGTGCTTTGAAGGTCAAGTCATCTGCTAGTCTACTATTTGCAGAAACTACCACCAAGTCAGCTACTGGTACGCCACTTAGAGATCCTGTAGGCCAAGGAGGATTACATTAAGGCAAGTTAAAAGGTTTGGTCAAGTAAAGGAAAAAAAAAAAAAAGAAAGATTTACCCACCAGTAAGTTTCAGTCCACCAGCAGTTAAACCATTAGTGAAACTCTTCAATCCAGTCATCAAGTAAGAGCCTCCCTGAATAAGGACTGCTTTCTCGTTTATTTTGGTCACATTCAAGGAATTTATTAGTACGCCTTCAGCACCTATACCAGAAGCCTCAGCCACAGACAGGATTTGCGTGTTCAAATTGGTGGTGAAGGTGATGTCACAGTTTATGACCTGAAAGAAAAAAAAAAAAAAAAAATACAAGTTGAAGGGGGGGGGGGAAGGAGTTAAAAAAAATCTCCTTAACTTACACTATCCTGGTTATCCATGACCGTTACAGCATACAGGTTGTCAATATGTACTCCATCTGCAGTGGATGCCACCAAGCTTGCTAATGTAATGTCACTGATGAATTCTACTTTGCCTGCAATTGAATCCATTTTAAAAAACGTTTGAGAGTTGTTTAACTAAAGGGTTGGTCTAGTTTAAGACTTACCATGGGGGATATAGAGCAGGGTTTAAATTGGGGGCACCAATAAGAAAAACAAAAATTATCCTTTTGTACTGTAAAAAGTGCTTTCGAAGCATGTACAACTAGGGGAGGGTCTTTGGGCAAGTTTTAATAGCTAATATATTCAGACTCCTAACCTTAAAATAGAAAGTAGTCAAGCTTTAGTTTGCCTGAAAGAACTAGTACAAAGGGGGGGGAGAAATCCTTGCACTCTTGGGGATGCCCTGGTAAATTAGGGACCTTACCCGAGATTTCTTGATTTGAAGACTTCAGTACTAGAGTGTTTAGGAAATGCATCAGTTCCCGTGTGCCAGCCTTGACACCAGCTTTTATCACAACATCTTGGGCAATGTCTATCGATGCCATTGTTATTGGGAAGGGCATTTCTATACTTCCATCACTGGCTCTCCATACAGTAGATGCATTAAGCTAAAATTGGAAGAGAACATTTAATTCAAACTTGCATTTCTTCAGTTATGTAGCTTACAGTGCTAGTTTACCATACCTGAACAAGGTCACAGCCATCAAGTATTCCCAAATCCGAAGTAACGTCTTTCACTTCCAAGTTATCAGCAAAACTAACCAATCCACTTATGGATCGGGTTTGGTCCACTAATACCAGGTTTACAGTGTTTACTCCATCAATTTCTTGGGCATTAACATTTTCTGCAATTAAATATTAACTCAAGTCTAGCCATGAAACTGCAGGATGCCTTTGCCACATTTTAAACTATACCAATGTAGGTAATTGAAGGTTCAGTGCCCAAGTGAACTTAAAGACCATTATTACCCAAGAATTGCATACTAATATACATACTGGCTGCAACATTGCCATCTATTGTGTACTTGCTGCCAACAACCTGGCTTGTACTCTTGGTCAGTATTCTGTCTGTTAGGGGAGCTACACTAAATCCGTTTATGGTGGTTGGGTTGAAGTTCCCAGATATAGAAACCGGCTTTGTGAAAGTCTTCTTTCCGCCAATTGCTCCGTTGTAGTTTTGTGGCACAACCTGAAATTTAGGCAAAATTGAACCCACTTGTTGCCTGCATCCCCCCCAGGCATATTTTAAATTTACACGTCCTTGCCTTGTCGAGGTGGGTGGTCCAGTCCTTGCCGTTAACCGTAGCCAGAGATGGGCTCTGATCAAAGTGAACTTCCTTATTTACGGTTATGGTCCCTGTTACTGCTTGTGGTGTAGCAGAAGTCTTCTTAAGGCTGCGGTCCACAAGATCCGACACATCAACGCCGTCAACCAATCCACTAACATGGAGGTTGTTTGCTGCAAGATGAAGCATTGATAGAACATGCCCAAAGACAATTTCAATTGTTATAGCACCGAAGTTATCAATACCTACCGTTTACACTAGATGTAAACTTCAAGGGCCCAGCAATTGTTGCATCATTTCCTACAGTAACCAAATCATCCACTGCAGACTGCACATCCATGCCATTTAGACTCTGGACTACTAAATCTGCACTAGAAATACTCAGGGATGCTGCAGTAGTTTTGTCCACAAAGTTAAGGTTACCTGAAGAGACATTTCAAAGTTAGGTGGTTTTTTTTTTTTTTTTTTTTTTTTTGTTATAAAAGAGTCGGTAGACAGTGAATTGTAGTTTACTCACCTGTGTGAGGCAAGGACAAGTCGAGTCTCATCAAGTCGTGATTCAAATCCCATCCATTCAATTTGCCATCCAAATCCAAGCTACCAGAGGCAGCTATTTTCCCTGCAAAGCTCTAAAAAAAAAAAAAAAAAACTTGACAATGTATACCTGTTCGACCCCTAGGCACAAGAAAATTTACTTAATTAGTAGCACTTACCGTTGGAGCATTTATAGTTTGGTCGTCAGCCAAGTTGACAAGATTATTCTTTAGTGCAGACACATCCACATTATCTATAGCCTTTCCATCCATCATGTTGAGGTTACCAGCTATATTGACCAAGCCCTGTAATAGAAGTTAGTTACACTAAAAGGTTTTAAGTAGAAAGCCTTACCCCTTTTAGAAGTTGCTGTAACCACTAACCTGGAATGTATATGTTCCTTCAATGGTTTGTAGTCCTGTCACAGAGAGGTAGTCCTCCATCTGATGAGTATTTATAGACCCTGCTGTCACAGCAGATCTGTCAAGAGATATTATTGTAGCACATTTAAAAAATGAAGGCAAGATACAATACAAGAAACTCTACCTACTTGAATCTAGCATTATCTAGAGCTGGCGACACCAAGATCATTTGGTTAGTGCTTTTCCTCCAATATCTATCTTCAATGCCGCTCATATCCAAACCATTAATAATGTCTACAGAAACATCTTCCAGTACCTGTGGGGTGGGGGGGGGGCCATTTTAATGATAATCTGACAATTATTTACAATGAAGGGGTCTACGAAGAAGTCGCTAATACTTACATGTAGGGGGTTTGTAAAAGTAACACTAGTCTTAATGAGAAGGTTTCCTTTGTCGTCGAAAGTCTCGAGGCTCTTTGGATGGATGCCATTTACAGTAGCAGTGTCGGTCATTTTTACTCCCTCAGACCCACTAACCACTACATCGTCAGTGAAGGTTAGCCGACCTAAAAGTTGGATAGAGGCTATTAAGAGCCGGTTCTCTCATGTATACGAGAGAAACATGAAAAAAAAAGTTATAAACTTGCCAGTTATAGTTTGGTCAGCATCAATGGTGACCACATCAACATTGATGTCTATTCCATTTAGGTCACTGCATTCTATAGAAGTTTTTACATTAGCATTTGTAAAGGTATAGTGGCCTTGAATGTGGGGGGTCTGCAGATCAACAATGTTCTCCTTAGCAATCCCATTCAGTTTTGGGCTGGTCATGCTTCCAGACACTCCCAAGTCCTTCTGGTATGTTACATCACCTGTAACAAAGTTTAACTGTTAGCTACTAGCTATTAGGTTTGGAACCTAATTCAGCAAATATCTTCTGCTAGTTTACCAGATAATGTGAAGTCTCCAGAAGTTTTGACAACCATCGTATCAAGTTCTTTCATGTCGACGCCATTAATGTGTCTCACATCAACATTCCCATCTACATTTAGATCATGAAGAGTAAAGTGACCATCCAAAACTTGTGGCTTGAACAAGTTCATGTACACCAGATCCTCAGCAAGGCTAGAAAGGTCAATCTGAAGAGAGAAGTCGTTAAAGCAAGTTGCACATGCTAGAGAATTATTCTTTACCAACTGCCATCCTACTTACTTCATTAAGGAGGTCAATGTTTAAGTCTTCTTGAATCAGCAAGTTCAAGAAAGTCTTTTTGTCAAGGAAGGTGACATTTTGTCCTCTTGTTACAATGGTGTTGGTGTTTATGCCATTAATTACTAGAGAATTATCGGTGGTGGTCGATCCCTCAATGCTTTGTACAACAAAGTCTTCATAATTGAAGTTACCAGTTACAACTTGAGAAGCTAGGCTCTTCCTCATTAACTCTGAAAGCGAGTTGTAAATTAAATTAACAGTTTATAACTACGTACATGTAGCATTTAATTAATTAAATGATTACTCACGGTTGGTTTTTACTCCATTTATTGTTGCAGCAGTTCCATCCCGTGTACTGAAGATATCGGCCTTCATGGTGTTTATGTACATTGAAGAACTTACAGCTTGGTCAATACCATCAATCATAAAAACTTGGCTTAAGCTAAGCAAGGGCGTTCCATTCAACTGGAATGAGGGGATTTCCCAAAGTTAATTGGAACAAGAACTAAAACCTGGAAACTGCATTTTTAATTTTTAAGTACTGCCAACCTCTGTAAGCCTTGTCGAGTTGGATTCGAAGTAATCCACAGTAAGAGGAGTTGCCACAATCGATCCCATGATGGTTTGATCCTTTGAATGGTAGAGGATGTTGTCCATTCCAGAGTTTACAATGGAGATGTCATTCTGTAGCAAAGTTTAGAGAATTAGAAGCCTTATTATTCTAAATAGTTGAGAGAAAAATAAAGATAAAGCTTTACCAACCTCTAGATTTGCAGTTTTAGTTAGGAACAGGTCGTACGTTTCCTCGTGTGCTTGTGCAGTACCATCACCAATTACATTCATAGTTTGTTGTACAACTGCTGGACCATTTACCGTTAATGGCTCGGTAAAGGTTAGTGGTCCATGCCAAGTCTGTAAATCATTTAAAGTAAAATTTAAGCGAGAATTTTAATGCAGTATGGAAGTCTAAAATACCAGTAAGGTGTCCCCTCCCATTTTACCTGGGAGTTGTCAGTAGTCATTAATAGATCAGTTGCAATAACCTCTCCCAAATGTTCTATGGTTGGCTTTCTAGAATCGAGGTCTTCTTTGAGAGTGTCGAGGCACTGTAGGAGGTGGTCCGTTTCGTCTGTAGGTTTTTCTGAAATTGGTGTTTAAATATTAAAGGACTAAGCTAAAATAGCATTAAAGTTTATATAAACAAGGATGAATCTATCCATTCACTGAGAGACATGTCAGAGGCAAGGGTTAAACAGGGTGATAATCAAATTAGGTTGCCTATCATAGATTTAAGATTAAGGGAGGAGTATTACCAAATGACACGACTACCTCTAAAAGTAGAGACTAGAGAAGATGTGCCAAAACTGAAAGTTTTGGCCAAGTTCTAAAAGCTTAGTTTATTACATGCTTAACCTGTGCAGTCTGATATGGTAATTACCATTAGAGTTTAATCTTACCTAGATCTATGTAATC